GGGAAATTCTTTAAAAGTAAGAGTGGTCAATACAAACTGAAACTGCACAAAACACTTTGAATACTTTAAGATAAGGTTTGAAGCTGGATTAAATAGGTTCAAAGGCTAAACTTACTTACTATCTTTGACTATTAATACAACTTCTGTATCCAATAGTCAATGTTACCATCCACTTGTGGAGAAATTTTGTACATTTTTTCCATTTTTCTACCTTTTAATAGTTTTAAACCTGATTTATCTATAAATCCCTTCTCATTGCATTCCTGCAGCTTATTTTAAACTACTTCAAAGTTTACATTCATCACTCATGAAGGATACTGATAAGTGTGTGAGTTAGTGATGTTGGGAATTTAATTAGATACCTTGCTGGCTATGACTTGCTATGTTTTACCGCCGCCACCATCAACTTCTACCCAATTAGGACTTTTGCAAGTGTTTATCTTTTTTAAGTGATTTCACCTCTGAATATCTGGTTGTAAGCAAAGTAAGGACTAGCAGTGATATAAGAATACTTTAGGCTATTTGTGGATAATTTGTGAAACTAAAGAATAAGAATAAGAATAAGAAAGTTTATTGCCATTGACCAAGTTGTACATAGGAATAGGCATTGTCAAATTACATTAAATAAAATATCACTAAACATGTTCATATCTATAGATAACAAAGATTAGGTAAGAATAACGATTGAGAGTTTTTGATTTACAGTATGTCATGATTATGGAGTCACACTGCTTCCTGACGTAGGTCCTGAAATAGCTGACATAAAATATGCCACCAAGTGACCACATCCAGACGAGAGCAAGGGCTAAATTTGCACCAATGACGGATGTGGAAAGACAGGAAGTGGAACAGGTGTATGCGTTCAAATATTTTATATGAACCAGTGTTTTGATAGACTCCTGCTTCCCAACCAGCTGCAGCTTAACTTCTCTTTTGAGGTAAGTTTAAAAAGCTAATAATAGGGGAAGCAACAATGAGACACTTTGATTAAAGTTCATGTTTGGTAATGGTGAGTTTATGTTATTTAAGAAATATTTGCGGGAATTTTTTCTGTTTCACTAAAGTAAAGAAAAATAAAAATCTTTTACTAATCATGTAGGAAGAAGTTCACGATGATTTCTTAAATAAAAGAGACATTTGAGTTCTGTCTCCAACAAATTAACAGCCTATAAAATTAGAACCCTTTGATCACCATTCCAGGGAATTTTATTAGGGTAAGATATAATTAAGATATGAATAAATAAGTGTAATTAAGCCGTTTTAAGAATCATTCAGTCATTTTTTATTTAACTTTAAGAATTGGATCTGAAAAGTTTACATTTTTTTCCTACCACTGCATGGAAATTATCACATTGCTACACCTGTAAACAGTACAAAAAATAGCTCATTTCTGCTCTAGAGTGGGAATGACTATTCTCGCTCGCTAAATCAGCTTTCATTGTTGGCATTTTCTATCAAACACTAACATTCAGTAAGAAAATAACATAACCTTCAAAAGCAAAAATAAATAAATAAATAACATTTTATATACGACTAAAAGTTAATCTGTAAGTTTATGTTAAGTTAATTATGGTGTTAGGAAAAAATCTTGTGTTTATTACGAGCACAAACAGTCATTGCGCACTTTTTATACACAAATATAAATTTGCACCAGTGGAAACCAGAACTCAGAAACCAGGATTGGGAGGAAGTTTACTCCACACCAAGTGTTGAAGAAAAATACAAAAATTTCACAAGAATACTAATACATGAAATAAACAACACCATGCCAAAAAGGTACATTACCCTAAAGGACAAACCCAACCACATCTTCTGGGACCAAAATCAAATTCATCTGAGAAACCTGGTAAGCACAGCTCATAACAAATTCATACTAAGCAACACAGATGAAGATAAAAAAATATATGCAACTCTCAAAAAAACATATTATGAAAACATTAAAACAAAAAAATTTTAGCACACAATTAAAACAATTTCAGATGCCTCCAACAAAAATAAGACCATATGGAGAACAATAAACAGGGAACGGAAAAATAAAGAGCTCAAAAACCCAAATATGACCATCAACATAAATGGAAAACCTACTACTGATCCGAACAAAATCACCAATAGCCTCAATTCATTCTTTGTCAGCGTTGGCAGCAACCACCACTCACAAACCCTAGTAACACAACAACAGCACAGACAACCGACCAGAGACAACAGGGAAACAAGCCTCACACACTTCAAAACAATATAAAAAAAGGATCTGGAGCAAATTTTCAAACACCTACCCCCCAAAACTTCATCAGGCCTAGACGAAATCTCAAATAAGATAGTAAAACATTGCCAAGACAAACTGATTATGCCCCTTCTAGATATCATAAACGCATCAATTATACAGTCAACAGTGCCTCAAGCGATGAAACAAGCTTTGGTCTACCCCAAATACAAGAAAGGAGATGACCGACTTATGGAAAACTACCGCCCCATCTCGGTGCTGCCAGTGCTATCTAAATACCTTGAAAAAGCTATAAACCACCAACTAATCTCATTCCTGGAAGAAAACCATCTACTGAGCAGCAATCAACATGGCTTTAGACAAAAAAGTCCATTAACACCGCTCTAAGCCAACTGTGTAACTCAATCACGGAAATTCGGGAAAAAAAGCAACAAGCGAATGGTATATTTCTGGAACTCGAAAAGGCGTTTGATAGCTTGGACAGAAGCATTTTAATTGAAAAACTCAAACTTATCAACATCACCGGCAATGCACTATCCTGGATACAGAGCTACCTGACAGACAGAGAACAACTTGTAGAAATAGAATACCACTCAAAAAATATCAAAACAAAATCAAGATCCAAACTCAAAAAACCATCACTGGAATTCCCCAAGGGTCGGTCCTTGGACCTCTTTTTTTTCTCATCTACATAAACGCTCTTCCAACACTCCTTCCTGAGGATCACACCTGCATCATGTTCGCAGATGATACAACCATCATCGTCCCTGACAAACCAACAGAAAAACAAAAAATAGATGAAACAATACAAACCACTAGCGACATCTGCCAAGATATCAACCTAACCATAAATAAATCCAAAACAGTCCACATTAAATTCACAACCAACAATAGAACAGACTCAGACACAAAATCTACCAAATTCCTCGGCATAATACTGGATGAAAACCTAAACTGGCAACCCCACCTTGAGAAACTCCATAAAAAACTATCAACGGCCCTGTTTGCCCTGAGAAGAATCAGAGAAATCACTGATACAACAACTACCAAAATGGCATACCATGCGCTTTTTGCATCCCACTTTAAATTTGGAAATATAGCTTAGGGAGGAGCTGGCGAAACACACTTGACAAAAATCTTTCTACTTCTGAAAAAGGCAATACGACTGATAGACAAGGCTCACTACCAAGCCCACTGTAAACCGCTCTTCATTAAACACCATATCCTGACCCTGACTTCTCAATACATCCTGGACACCATAATCCACACCAAACTAAATCCGCCCCCATCCCGACATCAATGCCACAAATACAATGTCAGATCAGGGAACAACCTAAACCTTCAACAGCATCGACTCCAAAAAACAAGCAAAACACCCTCATACATGGGAATAAAATTGTTCAATCTACTCCCAGAAAATATCAAAACAATAAACAACAACAACAAATTTGCTAAAACCCCCAAAACCTACCTGTTAAATAGACCATACTATAACCTGAATGAATTTTATGAGGAGCATAATCAAATCAAATCAATTTATTGTTGTAGACATTTCACAATGCATTAACAATCGTCACAAAATACATAATGCTGTTATTAAATACAGCAAATGAATACTTACATGTAATCAATCAATATAATAAGACAGTACAATAAAAAATTATATATATACATATAAAATACAGGCACAATTAAATAGAAATATTTTGACATGTGAAAAAATCCTCCACTGTATACGGGCATTTTTGTATTAAATATGTTTTCATTTTTGATTTGAAAGTGTTCAAGGACAACTCCCGAGTAAATAAATATCACAACAGAAACTAAACCCAACTAAGACACCAAACAACACCATTTAGACACACACACACAAAATACAACTTCCCACATCAAGAACTGACGACTCTCCAGTCTCAACGATTGTGAAGAGGAGGACCCATGGTAAATGGTAAATGGTAAATAATTTCAGTGATCTAGATATCTTATACGTTCTATTTATATACACTTGCCCAATATCTGAAAGGTATATCTTTCAGCTTCTTCTTTAAAATAGGAAAATACCTTTTTGTATCTAATCTGGGTATGTAATTGCAAATCTTGTCTTGATCAAGCACATTAACTGAAATGCCAAATTTACCCTTTGTGTCATGTAACTCTACTTGGTTAAGATTATGTGGAGTCTCTTTAGTTTTAATACCTCCAAACAAACCATGAACTATTGATTCCTAGCCAGATTCTATTAATTTAAATTTCTCTACACAGTCCTTTGAGATATAAGACCTTTGAGATCCAGAATACAACAATGCTCTTACTAGTAAAGATTGCTTGTCAGGTCCTATTACTTTTACTAGAAGAGTTTGTAATAAGGTTTCCTTATTTTGATTTGCAATCAAGGACTCAGATTTGTCATTAATTTGCACACTTTCAATGACATTTGATTTGTTAGAATCATTTTCATGAGTATTACTGTGCACCATTTTCTCTAAACTAGGACACATTAAGCAGTAGTGTTTCCTTTTACAGATAGCACAGGATACAAACACTTTACATTTATTACTGCTGTGACCTAACTTTAAACATGAGAAACAAGCTCCCTTTTTTGTTACAAACCCTCTCCTTTCTTTCAAAGTGAGCTTTTGTAACCCGGAACAGTCTTGAGTGTTGTGATTTCCTTTACTACAAAATAAGCATGTAGGCTTACTCACCACTGAAGAGCTGTCTGTAGCAACTATTGTAGATGCTGTAGGTAAAGGTAGTCCTTTCTCAAACTCACTTTTCATACCAGGACGTTGATGACGGTAACTACCAGACTCTTCTGTCTCTTCTGTGGCTGGGTGTCACTTGGTGTCGTGTCTCTGTCCACGTACAAAATTCAACAATAACTGTAAATAATTTGAATTAGATGACTCGCTACCTTTAAATTCACCTAAGCCTATTTTGTTTGTTGTTCTGTGCCGCTCCCATGCTCTGAGAGTATCAGTTGGTAGAGCAGATTCAACCAGTGGGTATAGCATGGCAGCATACTTATCTGATGTGACCCCGAGTGTTTCTAGGGCACGAAGTTGAGTCTCAAGTTTATCAGAAAGGGTTGAAAGTGGCATGATACTTTGTTTGTTGGCTTGTTTCAAAACTAAATTTAGTAATTCTCTTACATAAACTTCAATCAAAAGTTCATCACGTGCAAAACTGGATTTCAATTGTTCAATAGCCTTGATATAATTTTCACCAGAAGGAGGTAAAGAATCTATTAATTCCCTAGCTGATGAACCAGGTTTCAAGGATTGAATTAAATATTGAAATTTGTCTTCAGGTTTAATTTCACTATCTTCATGAATCTTTTTGTACTGACCCCAAAACCCAATCCAATTCCTAACATCCCCATCAAATGAAGGTAATTGCAATTTAGGCAAATGAAAGTTACGGTTTGGTCTGTAAATGTTTGACTCACCATTGTTGGTAGGTGTTTTAAGAAACATTTCATACTTAGCCTTCATCAGGTACCATTTCTTCTTGTATTCTTCTTGTGTGTCCAGTTCATTATCCAGATCAGCATCAGAAGCATCTTTCATCAGCATTTCATCAGAGATTTTTCCATCCATTGCCATTAATGCTGTTATTTTGTCTTCAATTTGAGAAAAGTTAACTTTTATTTGAGTTTCTTTATCATTCATTGACAGGTTTCATTATTAAATGCTTCTTCCAGTTAATTATAAACTTTGGTGAATAGCCTTCTAATCTGAGTTCTTTTCTTTTTCATAATTTCTAGGCCTTCCATATTATTATAAACTATCAAATAACCCAGATGTCTTAAATTAAAGAAAATATCCTTTCACGGTCGCTAAAATGTTTTGAATCTTGAAATAATTACCAGAAATAATAAAATAATTATTTCACAAACAGATTTAGTAGGCTTCTTTATTTATTCCAAAGTCTTAACTCAACCTTTAAACAATTAAATTAATTCAATACAAAATATTTAACATGTGGTAAAACAAAACACAGTAGTTTAGAAAAATATAACAGTCAGATCAAAAGGAAAATCAATGAAGTGAAAACATATGCTATAAAGTTTACAACATTCAGTTTATGAAATATATCAAATCATGGTTAAACTGTTCATGAAACATCAAAGTTACACGGCTCTTATAAATAAAATTGAGGGAAATGTGTAATTAGAGTGGAAATTGGGGAAGACACCAAGTATTTCCCCAGCCGGTTAATTATATCTGACATCTCTGCCCACGCTTGCTGCAAACACCTGTCATCCAACTACAACTTACAATGTCAAAGTGGTGATGTAGGCAGCATAACGCAGCTACGGTACTTGTATTTGAATTACCATTATTTTAAATCATTTATTTACTTTCTGTAAAATAATTAATTGGATAATCTGGAGATGATGTATAAAGATTTGTTGTTTGGTTGGATATTTTATTTTGAAGATTCCTTAACCACCCCTCATGCAAGTCATACTTTTAAGCATTTTTTAATGGGAAACATTTACTTTTTAATGGAAATAAAAGTAGTTACATTTCTTTCTGTACAAATACAAATAAAACCAATGAGACAATTTTAAAGTCAATAAAGTAAATGATTTAAAATGTTAGGAATTGTTATTGATAATAATCTGGACTTAACTTCCACCGGTGCTGCATCTCATGCTAATTGCTCAATCTAATATGGTCAACCAATTTTAAAATGTATAGTCTTGTGTGTGATAGTTGTTTTATGTTTTTAAATCTCCTGACTATCTCCACCATGAGGGATAGTTAGCAAGACATTCAGACCTGAAGATATGCTCTATTTTTGACAGCAAATAACCTAAAATCCATAGACAATAACATCAAATTTGATAAATGACTAAAAGAATACCTCACATCAAGATCTTACCACCACTTAAAAGAATTTGTTGAAGTACATGGCTTCCCAAATATACTAGGTGTACAATGCAGTTGTCTGCTTGCAATATTGAGCGAAGCTAGCATATTATAGTAATCCAATGTCAATGATGTATTTGGTTCGCATAAATGGAATGCCTATTTGAAGTATCCAAAGTCAATGGTCCGCCTGGTTCACTTAAATGGAATGTCTATTTACAGATTCTAAAGTCAATGGTACGTCTGGTTCACGTTAACATTGTTTACTTGCAGTATCCAAACTTAATGGTACATTTGGTTCATGTAAATGAATTGTCTACATGCAGTATCCTAAATCAATGGTCCATTTATTTGGTTCACATAAATAAAATGCCTACTTGCAGTATCCAAAGTCAATAAAAGGCTTACTTCTGATTCACTTAAATGGAATGGCTATTTGCAGTATCCAAACTCAATGGCAAATGGAGTGCCTATTTGCAATATCCATAGTCAATGGTACGTCTGGTTCACATCAATGGAATGTCTACTTGCAGTATCAAAACTCAATGGTATATTTGGTTGACATTAATGGAATTTCTATTTGCAGACTGCAAACAGGAATTGCAGTACCCTATTCAAAGTCTGGTAAGTCTTGTCCACATACATTGGAAGTCTGTTTGCAGTATCCAAACGCAATGATATATTTAGTTCACATAAATGGAATGGCTATTTGGAGTATTTAAAGTCAATGGTGCTTAAGCCTAATTCCGGCGACCCTTATTATTGGTTATTCATTTTGTAGTAAATTACGCTCAATGATATTAATCCGATTGTTCTTTCCTATGTATGGTTTGTAACGTGCTATTTTAGAAGATTCGTTGACTAACATATTGTCCTGAGGTCTACATTAATAGTTTGTTTATTTGCTTGTCATCTGGTTTGATATATTATTGTTTCATGTTTACTTTAAGTTTTGGTTTTTGTTATTAAATACAATGAAAGAAGTGGCTCTAACAAAATGGGTTTTAATTCAATATATTTAAGGGCACAACATGGTGGCAGCGGTAAAGACCCAATAAATTGAGTAACAGGGTGTCTAATATATATGCTGCATTACAATGTCAGACTCAGAAAACTCAGATATAACAGTAAGAAGACAAACATCTAAAATGACACAACATTCAGCAATATTGGGCTTCATTGATAAATACTCCTTTAAACCAGAAGATTGGGGCCCATGGTTAAAAAAGTTCAATAGGTACAGAAATGCTACCAATTTAGATCAAATAGATGGAGAAAAGCAAGTAAATTTCCTTATAATATCCATGGGTGATAATGCAGAAAATGTATTAATAGCAGCAGGAGTAACAGAAGAAGATGAAAAGACTTATGATAAAGTGGTGGAAAAACTTAATAAGTATTTTACACCAAGGGTGAATTTGACCTATGAGAGAGCGAAATTCAATCAACGAGTACAAAAGCAAAATGAACCGATATCCGATTTTATAACAGATGTACATCAATTAGCTTCTTCATGTGATTACAAAGACATGAAAGACAGCCTTATTAGGGATAAACTCATTGTTGGAATAACAGATTCAAAGTTATCTAAGGAACTTCAACTGATGGCTGACCTAACCTTGCATGAAACAATAAATAGATTGAAACAAAGTGAAATTATAAAGAACCAACAAATTACTGTTAACAGATCAAGAGAACAAGATTTTGCAGAAATAGACCAAGTGAAAAAACATCCGAACTTGAAACAAAACATAAGACAATATACTTCTAATTGTTTTTACTGTGGAGGACAGAGGCATCCTAAGGAGGAATGTCCTGCTCAGAATATTGAATGCTACTACTGTGGATTGCAAGGACACTTCAGCCGATGTTGTAAAAAGAGACAGAATAATAAATACAGAAATCAGAACAATAAATACAGAAACCCAACCCTGAATCAAATTCAGGAAAATACCGAGAACAGATTGGAACAGGATAATAGAAGCGAGGACGGGTATTACATTAACAGAGCTGAAGTTAAGAAAATAAGAGCGACAACAAGGAACTACAATAAACAGAATGAATTTGAAATTGATGTAAAACTTGATGGGAAATTGGAACATTTCAAGATTGACAGTGGAGCCGACGTGACGATTGTGCCTCCAAGAATGGCTAGAAACAAATTATTGACTAAATCAAACATTGTTTTAAAAACACCTGGGGGGAAGTATTTAACAGTTTTAGGTAAATTTGAAGGTGTAATTCAGTATAAGAATAAAACAACTCGTCAAACAATATATGTGATCAATGGTCAAGAGGAAGCATTGATTGGGAAACCATGCATCTCAGCCCTAGGGTTCTTAAGGGTCATCAGAGGAGTTAAAAATGACATTCAGTCAAGTGAATATTGTAGCAACCAGAATATCAACACAGACCTACAGAAGATCAAGAATAAATATCCAAGTTTATTTAATGGGATTGGTAAGATGAAGAAAGGAGCTCAACTTAAACTGAAACAAAATGCGGTACCGATGGAGTTAAAAACTCCTAGAAACATACCTATTCCATTAAGAGAAAAAGTGAAAAATGAACTTAAAAGAATGGTTGAAGCGGGAATCATTGAAGAAGTTTGCGGACCTACGGAGTGGTGTCATCCAATGGTAGTAAGACCTAAACCTAATGGCAGTGTAAGAATATGCATTGATCCTTCAGCTTTAAACAACCATTTACAGAGAGAAAATAACGTTTTTAATACTGTTGAGGACTTACTTGGATGTCTAGGGAATTCCAAATGGTATTCAAAATTAGATGCTAATTCGGGGTTTTGGCAAATACCGCTAGATGAGGGTTCCTCAAAATTGACAACATTTATAACACCATTTGGTAGATTTTGTTTTAAAAGACTTCCCTTCGGAATTTCAACAGCCCCGGGAATATTTTGTAACAGGATGAAAAGTATTATTGGAGACATCCCAGGAATTTTGTGTTAAATGGATGATATTTTAATTACCGGAGAAAGTAAACCCGAGCATGACAGCAGACTAGACCGAGTGTTACAAGAATTGGAAAAAGAAGGAGTTACCTTAAATGACAAGTGTGAAATAGGAAAAACAAAGATTTCATTCTTAGGTCACATTATTTCTTCTGGTATGATTCAAGCAGATCCCAAACACTTACAAGCAATAATCGATTTCCCCACACCCAGTGATGTGGGAAGTGTTAGGAGATTTCTAGGGATGTTGAATCATGTCGGAAAATTCATAGAAAACCTTGCTGATATCGTTCAACCACTGAGGGAACTACTAAAAAAAGATAGGGCTTTTGTTTGGGGTCCTAGTCAAGAACAATCATTTAAAACAGCCTTAAAGAGTTTACAAACAACTCCTGCCTTAATACCATTCAATTTGAAAAGGAGAACTATAATTTCGGCCGATTCATCAGCTTATGGTTTGGGTGCAACACTTTTGCAAGAACATCAAGGACATTTAAAACCTGTGGCCTACGCATCAAAGAGCTTAACACCGACTCAACAGAAATATGCACAAATTGAAAAGGAGGCTTATGCAATAGTATGGGCATGTGAACGTTTCAAAAATTTTATAACAGGATTGAAGTTTCAAATTCAAACTGATCATAAACCTCTGATTCCTCTTTTAAGTAGTAAGGGTTTGGATGAACTGCCGCTAAGAGTTCAGAGATTTAAAATGAGATTAATGAGATATTCGTACGACATATTGTGGGTACCAGGAAAACAATTAACAACTGCCGACACGTTATCAAGAGCGCCAATCAACAAAACTGAAGAGGAAGATATTGAGAAACTTGCAGAAGAAGCAGAAGCATGTGTAAGAACAGTAGTTCAATCAATCCCAGTATCATCTAATAAATTAGATATAATAATAAAAAATCAAAGAGAAGAATTACAGGAATTGTTAGATATTACAATTCAAGGATGGCCTAAAAATAAGAACCTATTAAATGAAAGATTAAAAGAATACTGGGATCATCAAGCAGAATTGTCGATCAATGAAGATATACTTATGAGAAATAATCAAATAGTGATTCCTCCATCCTTGAGAAAAGAAATGTTAGATAATATTCATGAAGGTCATCAAGGTATTAAAAGATGTAAAGAAAGGGCTAAAATGTCAGTATGGTGGCCCAAAATTAATCATCACATCGAACAAAAAGTAACCTATTGCCCGCAATGCATTGCTGACAGAGTGCCTCCTTGCCATCCTATGATTCCTACAGAGGTTCCTGAAAGACCCTGGCAGAAAATAGGAGTAGATTTTTGTGAATTCAACAATGATAAATACATAATTCTCATGGATTATTATTCCAAATACATCGATGTATATAAGGTATCTAACTGTTCAACGGCAATATTGATTAAATCAATGAAGACATCGTTTGAAAAGCATGGCATCCCCGAGTCAATTAGATCAGACTCAGGTGTGCAATTTCTATCAGAAGAATGGGAACTATTCAAATCAGAATACGACTTCACAGTGGAAACTAGTTCACCATACCATCATCAGTGCAATGGTCAAGCTGAAAGTGGTGTGAAAATCTTCAAAAACATATTAAAGAAGTGTAAGGATAGACATCTGGGCTTATTGGCATACAATACGACGCCAAAGGAATGTGGTTATAGCCCATCACAACTATTAATGGGACGGATTTTAAGAACAAATCTACCAGTGAATAAAGCAACTCTACTTCCAGCCACTCCAAATCACAATAGATATAGACTTAGACAAATGGAAGAAAAGAGGAAACAGGAACAACAGTTCAATAAAAGACATAGAGTGACCCAGGTCAAGGATTACCCAGAAAACGCTAAAGTTTGGGTATCGGACCGAAGAGAAGAAGGGGTAATCAAGGAGAAGTTAGAGAACAGGAAATATAACGTTGAAACAAAAAAGGGAGGAAGATATAACAGGAATTCAAAATTCTTATTCCCTATGTTCTCCTCTGGAGAAAGAGAAAATCCTGATAAAGAAAACCCCCATACACAGACACTTCCTCCAAGACAGACACATACACCAATATCCAACCTACATAATCATTCTTCAACCATACACAGACCTACCAGAATTGTTAAACCTGCCAAGAGGTTCATAGAAGAACTTTAAGAGGGAGATGTCCTGAGGTCTACATTAATAGTTTGTTTATTTGCTTGTCATCTGGTTTGATATATTATTGTTTCATGTTTACTTTAAGTTTTGGTTTTTGTTATTAAATACAATGAAAGAAGTGGCTCTAACAAAATGGGTTTTAATTCAATATATTTAAGGGCACAACACATATGTTGCGACTCTAGTTTACCTTTTTATTGTTATCTCGCAAATAATTTCATGGCAACCAATTAAACCATAAGGCCCATGTTAAATTTCCAAAAATTTTAAATTCACGAAGAGAAAAGCCCTGTGGTCCGATTGGTATCATTTCAGATTCATACCTTCCCATGGATGGTTACTATGACTGTGCAAAATTTTGTGCAAAATTTCAGGAGTATTTTTAAAACAAAAGTAGGAGTGTAGCATAAGAGCTTCGCTTTGCTCAGCTCAAAAATGTTCAATACGATTACACACACACCACAAATATACAAACACCCCCCCCCCCCCCCCCATCATTGAGATTGAGGATTCACCAATCTCTAAAATGAAAATAACACCTTTAGATACAATGGATTAGTTTAGTACCCACACATACTAAATTTCATAAAAATCTGACTACTGGTGTAATCTGTGGCTCTGTACACATCGATCCCCACACACACACACATCATTTTGAAATCCACTTTTTTGGGGTTCAGAGAGGACCCAAAATAGATACTGTATGTCCAAACAAAACTCAAACATTTTGACATACCTAACTATACTTTCTCCATGTAATTTTTATAGAGGGGGGAAGTTAAAAAGTGTAAAGCTATCTAACTAAGCTTCCAAGCTATTGCTTTTATAAACAAGTACCTGGGTACTGAGCCATGGCTCTTAGTTTATTTCCATTGGTAACCCTATATTTAGCAATCTTCAGTGTAATCTTAACTCAATAGTAACAACTGATGTTTTCCCCTCTGTACTAGTATACAAAGTGGATAGCTTGTTAAAAACACATGTTACAAGTCCTTTTGGTTACTTGGCAACCCATAAGACCGGTGTTAAAAAGTTTAGACTTACAATAATTTCATTTCTTTTACATAATTAGATTTTTGTTGGCAGTTTTAACTGCAGTAAACAAGTTTATAAGCTAGATATAAAATTATTTACAACATTTGAAGGGAATTGTCAAAGCCGTTTTTGAAATCTTTGGGCAAGCATACATACAAAAAAACATTGCTTATATAAGAGTATTGGATTTTTAACCTGGCCCGTAATCTGCCTTCCTACAGGCCTTCAGTAAACGCGGCTTAAGAGTTTATTATTTATTTATTTATTGGTGAGAACAATGTTCTACAGTAAATGAAATGAAATGAATGAAATGAAAAAGTGATTTTATTTACAAATAAGTGAACAAAAATAACTTCTTAGCACTAACAACTATGGACAAAAGTAGCCCGTCTGTTGCGGCTGGCGTACCTGGTTAGCACTTGTACAAAACTGATTAATAATAACAATTTAATGAAACTAATAAATAATAATAAAAAGATTTTAAAAGTAATGACATTTGGGAAAATGATTCTCACAGATTAAATTCTTGAATTAACCCCCATCTTTTAGACCAAGCATCTTTTAAATAATTGCTTAAGGCCCGCCAATCCCACCCATTCAATATCTCTATATATTGTTCCTGTGTCAAAATTGGACAGCCATAATAAAATTTCCTTATTGACTTAAAAATGGGACAAACAGATAAAAAATGAAAAACATCTTCTTTCTCTTGTAAATTACAAAGAGTGCACAAATGATAATTGTCTACAAGCCATGGTTTGAAGTTGAGGTTGATAAGCTCAGCTCTTGCCTTGATCGCTCAGGACATCACAGTTATGTCATATCTGTCAGCGAGGTATGTCTTATCTTTTAGGTCGAAGTTAATAGATAAGAGTTGTTGGTGATACAGAGACGTGCGCGCTCGACCCTCGCAATCACTTTTCCATGCTGCAATGTTCTACAGTACTCCATCTCTTATTAATAGTACCAAAAGAATGTTTAAATTGGTAATTATGAGTCATATTAAACTTCAATCTTAACAATTTACTATGACACTTTAGTTAATATGACATTTACTGGCAGTTAAAGGAGTATTTACAGAAGTTTCCACTTAGGGGGAAGATCACTGCAAGATTTTTATTTAAGTGTTAGACATAATCTCAAGTTTTTAAATCTCATGTTTTGCTTCTTGAGGAAAAAACTAATGTTAACGAAGCTTAAGTATTGATAGTTTACTACCTGAAATATTTTAACAAAATACAATTCAAATTCAAATTCAAATTCTTTATTTACTCATCACATCTTATAATGCACAAGGTACAAAAGATTGGAGTGTCGTCAGAATATAAACTAAAACTAAAACTAAACTAAAAATAATAAAGTTAACATAAGTAAAATATCTCATATAACTAGAAAAGACCTTATCATTCAGCGTATCAGTTTAAAAAGTATCCTTAAAAAACTCTTCTACAGTGTAGTATGGTTTTTGTAAGAGAAGTTTATGTACAGATGTAAGGGCTAAGTTTTTGGAATTATTTTTTTGTAAAATGCTGTACAATTTATTATAAACTTTTACTGCCATGTATTTTGGAGAGTTTTCATAGAATGTACTCTACAATCCACATTTTGTTCTCATATCTCAGAAATGACTTGACAGTTTGTTTACCTATCCAGTTGGTGACTCTCGTGACAGTGATTAATGACGGTGTTTCTCAAGTGCTTAAGAACCATGAATGATGCGAGGAGTAAGTGAGACATAATTCTGGAAACACTAAGGTCACCAAAATTATTTGTGGAGTCAGATATTAATTAGGCAAGTTTAGAGTGGAGGGGTGGTATTGAATGCTCGTCAGTGTTCCACAGTTCCGTCAGCTGGAAGGTAGGAGATATCACCATGGCAGATGCAGCACCCGACAAGGTATGCATCTCTATCCTCACTACAGAGTTTACAGTATAATTATAATTTAATTTTACTAATAAGATACCCACTATTATTTAAAACAAAAAATAATTGTTTGTTTAGTTTAAAGATTTTCCCAATTAATCTGGTTGTAAAATAAGAAAATACATACTTTTTAAGTCCAAAAGTCTATGCATGAGCCACTGAGGTTCAAGTTAGCTTATTTAAACAGCTAGATACTTTTTGTTGTATGAAACATATAAGGTTTTATTCATGATTTATTATTTTATGGTGGTATTTACTTATTTATTCAACATATGATTTATTTTGTTTATTTTATAAACCTTGCTTTTTACAGATTTTTACTATAATTATTGTGGGATTGTTTGGATTTGATATAATCAAATGTTTACAAATTTCTTTACCTCAATACATAAAAATAGTTAAAAATAATTGTTAAGTACCAAATATTTATACCTTCAGGTAAGTAATTCAAATAAAATAAAGTATATTGATAGTCAAGGATTAGTTTATTATAAGCTATGCACAGAAAAAAATAATTTTTACATTTTATTTTGTAGCTAAGTTTTAACATTAAAGTTATTTGCACAAACAGACACCATATTTAACAATACTGTACAAGCAAAAATGTATTTGTTCATTGAAGTGTTACATTGCTTTTGAAAACAACAATGTGAGTGGTATGATATTATTTTCTTGTTGGGGTAAACAAAGTTAAAACGTTCATCAAATAAATTTAAAGTTTAAATTGCTGTTATAAGTTACTCTTCTGAGTATTTATCAAAATCAAATATAAAATATATAATCAGATTATCCTTTCTTTTTTAAAATGTCAAAACAATATTTTATTTTGGATTAATATAAACCTGATAGTTAAGAAATTTGTAAGTTAATAGAATATCACCAAACTTAAATATTGTTCTTGTCTAAAACCCTTATTTATATAAATTTGACATGTTTTTGATATACAAATAATAAGTTGGTTGACAAATAATAAGATAGATAGATATTTATATATTAGTATAGATTACTACATTTTGGGTTCTTTCCTGTTAAAGGGAACAATTATTATTATTATCGATGATTTTATTCAATATATCGATATTTTTGTTTTCCGATCCGATCCATTACAAATTGACAACAACTAACTGATCTTGTTTAGGCTAAATAGTCTAATACATGGATTAAGAAATGAAACTGTTCTAATCTAACCTAACATAGCCAACCAAACTTGCTGTACCATTTAAAAATTTAGTTTGGGTTTGATAATAGAAAAGGCAAGTTAAACACGGAATTTTTAAATGTTACAGCAAGTTTGGTTAGCTATGTTAGGTTATTTTTTTAGAACAGTTTCATACTGAACAATATTTATCGTAGTTGTCAGCTGATATGTTTCAATTTGTTAATATCGATATATCGAAAAAAAATCATCGATAATGATAAATGTTCCCTTTAACAGGAAAGTACCACATTTTGTTTGGTTATCCTTGTAAAGAGTTGATTTAAGGAAGAAAATTTGGGAACTGATAAAAAATATTATGTAAATGATTTTTTATATTTTATTTTTTATAATCATTGAATAATTTTGATTAGGTTGGAAAAAGATGTTAAAAGTAAAATTATTTGTAAGTCGGATTAAAATCTATTATTTTTATTTAACACTTTCCCTACCAGGCGAATACTTGTGAATTTCAAATCAAGGAACTGAGTGTGTTACATTGCTAAATAACCTTACAAAAAGATGTGTTACACTTGACAACTAACACTTAAAACTAGGCATGCATGCGGCCTCAGTTCCGCCAATTGAGCGGAGTAAGCAAGCGTCGATATAAACAAAAATAACCTTTAAAAATACAATTTGCTGTTTCCAAATTAGAGGTGTGCGGATAGTGAAATTTCATTTCGGATCGGATAGTTGAGGCTCGGTTCGGATCGGATCGGATATTGGGAGGTTCGGATTCGGATATTTTCGGATTCGGATAGTTCGGCGCGGTTAATAATAAGCTGCATATGTATGTTTAACCTATAAAACAATGTAAAGCTGTGTAAATAAACTTAAATGACGATTTTGAATTATAGAGTTTCAAATTAGCCACGTCCACAGTTTTCTCTCTCTTGAAAATCACAATTCACAACATTTATTTTCAAAAGTTGGTTGCTTGAATTAAGTACACTAGCAGCCAAAATCTTCACACAACACTTTAGCTCAGCAGGACTGATGTCAAACTTTTGGGCTTGTTTACTTGAGGTTATGTTTTATGTTGTTTCCTGGTTCTCACAAGACAAGGAGTTCTATCTGAAGTTTATTTTCACATTGTGTTTCCTTACGTTTTTGGAACGATTATTGGCCTTAAGTGGCATTTTGCGGGTTTGCCAAGTTTAGAAAACATCACTAATGCACTAAGCTGGGCTCTAGCTCATGATTTGATGTTGGGCAATTAGGCTTTATAATTATAGCTCTGTAATAGGTGTGTATCCCTGAATGGTACTTACGTATTATACGGAGGCCACCCTTACACAACGCGCTGCGGCGGTTAGGTTTGGTCATCATGAAGCTTTTATGACTTGTCTGGTTCGATTCATAACGAAAGTAGGAAAGTCCTACAAACATATTTATAATAGACCAACCTAACCTAACCACCGCAGCGCGCTGTAAAATAAGTGGCCTCCGTATAATACGTAAGTACCCCCTGAATTTATAAATTTCATTCTACACTTATTCACTGCCAAACATAATTCAGTAGAACCTTGATGAACCGAGAATTACACTAGCCTACATAACTTCATTATCCCAAGTAAAATACCAAGATAATGTTTAAAATTGTATTTGAATCGTATAATCTTAGTTTGTTAAAAAATAAATGGATTGTATGTTCAACAATTGCAGTCCATTATTGTTATGCAGTGTGGTCCCAAATTATTGTTTTTGATTTTGAAACATCACAGTTCATTTGACAAAATTATAGTTGAAGCAGTCCAAGGTCAAGTCACGCCGGGGCGCCCGTATTGCGCCAGAGGGTCCAGGTAGCAGGCCCGTACTGCGCCATCACTTAAATCTACCACCCAAAATCAGACCTGTACTGCGCCAGAGCGGCTTTTTCTTTGAAATAATAGTTCTGAGAGAAACTGTCCTATTAATGAGTCTGAGAGTTCATTCAGTGTTATAAAAACACTCTGTGACTTATCCTACTAATATTATATATCTAAACTATTATACATCCTAATACAATTATATATATATCTATAAGTATAAAAGAGGATGTTTGTATATATATATTTGTTTGGCAGTGATAAACTCAGACACCGCTGAACCGATTGCCACGAAACTTGGTACATACATGTAGAATTTCATGGAATAGGTTTATACACCATCAATTTCGTGATTCGTCCAATCGGCTCCGCCCCAGTGGCTCTGGAGTTTCCCATGTTCAAATTCAAATTCAAATAATCTTTATTTGTTAGCAGTATACAATACATACATAAATAGTGTCAAATATACAGGTATTGAAAAATGAAAAACAAAGGTATCTTAGAATTAACAATATGTGCAAAAATTGACATTACCTCCTACAACTCATCGAAAGAATATATAGCTTTGCTGATGAAGTACTGCTTCAATTTAATTTTGAATTTTTTGAATGTTAACCTTATGAGAAATGGAATTAATGAATCTTAACAGCTGTTTCAATTAAACAAGTTGGTTCTGTTCTATGATGTTCAATAGCATTAAAGTCACAAGGATTACCCACAGGGTGCAGCACTATTATTTCTTTTACATTTATGACAACAGCTAATTTGCAACCAAAAGGTGAGTGAGCGTAGCGAACGAACTTCAACCTGGAGGCGAGTTAGAGTAGCAAACGAGGTAACCTGAAGGCAAGTGAGCGCAGCGAACGAGCTCCAACCTAAAGGTGAGTTAGCGTAGCGAACGAGCTCGAACCTAAAGGTGAGTGAGCGTAGCGAACGAACTTCAACCAGGACGTGATTGAGCCATGCAAACGAGATCATCTTGAAAATTAAGAAGTTAAACGGGGCAAAGCCCGCGGGTTACAGCTAGTATATATATATATATATATATATATATATTAATAAATAATACACCATAGTACCCTTTTTTTAAATTATTTTTAACTAGCTGGCCCGACAGACGTCGTCCTGTCCTATTGTGGTTTTATGTCACATGCTCGTTCATTTTCAAGATGAGCTCGTTCGCATGGCTCAATCACGTCCTGGTTGAAGTTCGTTCGCTACGCTCACTCACCTTTAGGTTGGAGCTCGTTCGCTGCGCTCACTTGCCTTCGGGTTAGCTCGTTCGCTACGCTAACTCGCCTCCAGGTTGAAGTTCGTTCGCTACGCTCACTCACCTTTTGGTTGCAAATTAGCTGTTCTTATAAATTAAAAAAAAATATAGTGCTGCACCCTGTTGGTAAACCTATTAACTTTTTAATGCTATTGAACATCACAGAATCAAATTGTTTAGCTGCACCAGCTGTTAAGATTCTTTAATTCCATTTAAATATGAGTACTCATAAGGTTAACATGGGAAACTCCAGAGCCACTGGGGCGGAGCCCTATTGACGGATCTGCACCAAACTTTACACAAACCATCCTTGAATAATGCTTAATAATGCCTAAAAGTTTCATTACAATCTGTCGAGCGGTTTTGGAGTCCATAAAGGACAAACATACAAATATAGAAACATACAAATATACAAACATACATTGGATTTTATATATATAGATGACTGATGCATTTCGACACTAAGGTCATGGTCACAGTCTTTTACAATGTTATTAAATCTAATATGTAAACAAAGAAAATAAATACAATCACATGTTTAAATTTTAACTAAATCTATCTTGACTTAGAAAATTATATAATTAAGAATATCGTTATACCAATGGTTTTACTTATTCATTTTGTCTTAATTCTTGGATTTTATCATAAATTGGGTTTAAATTTTGTGTTTGCATTATGTTAAGGATGTTGCTTTCAT